GCTTGCTTGTTTGGATATATCGGGGTCCCACTGAAGCTTTTCGTCTAGTGATGCCAAGAAAAGCAGAGGATTCAACAGGGCTCAGTTCTTCCCTATTTAAAACACATTGGTATTCAGATTTTTAAAGTTCGTTGTTGTAAGTTTAATACATTTAGTTTTATTGCCGTTTAAATGTAGATTATTAAAGTTAAGCAATGCACTAATAATGATATAGCATTATTCACTTCGTCACATTTAAATGATATACGTTTAAGTGTAAAAATCAAGGAAGTATCATCAGCAAATTATACTACCTAAATTTTGACGAAAACTAGCGTAAGCGAGCGAGTTTTTAGCCTTCATTAAAATGAGGAAGGAGGTCGTCAAATTTGGACCGATTTTGATGATTTACTAAATACATAATACTTCAAGGGCGGTTGGGCCCATATAAATTTTTGAGAAAAAATTCCACCACTATGGGTGAAAAAATTGAAGTTGGAAGTTTTAAATGTAACAATTTAGGTGATTTTCTAGTTGTTACCTTGAATTTGTGATATTTCTTAGTCTACTAAAAGGGTCAAAAATTAATAAAATTAAAAGCAGACTTCAAACAACAAAAAAGCAAACAACTAATAAAATAATGTCACATTGAAATGCATGACCATATGAAGTCGGGGCTTTAATCTATACAGTAAGTCTTAGCACCGACTTCCGAATATGATATTTTATTCTTTTTTTTTTTAATTTCCCAATTCGCTTTAAACGTTTACAATTCCCGGTGAGCATAATCACCAAAAACAAAGCGCAAGACCAGTAGCTGCGTGTAGCAGGCGTGGATCTTACTGTCAGTTGCTTTTCGCACGGTCAGCTCTACGTGAGTCTCTCCCGTGTTAGTGAAGCAAAGAAGCACTTGGGTTTTTCTTTCAAGAAAGCACGTTAAGTCGTTGGTCCTGCACCTAATCTTTTTACAGTCGTGTAGGATTTCCGTCACATCGAACTATAGTGAGGAAATACAGAGTACACCTGTGTTTGCGCGCACACTCGCGCTCTATAATCCTGTCATACGCAGATGTTTAGTCTCCGTTGAGACTGATCGATGTGACCGTAGTTGGATGCTGTAGCCAATAGACATCTACAACACGTAGAATCATAATGTAGATGCGTAGTCACCCCTGAAGACTAAAATAGAATACCTCGTTACTAGTAAAAAGGGTATCCGGTTTTCTACACACACTATACGAAAAAAATCGTTATGGTGCTTACTTCACGGTGAATACCACCTTACAAATTGGTCCTTCACCCTCGAGCCAACCCATAAGTGTAACCATAAGTGCCGTTATAATATCTATTGCATAGTAGGACTTCTCTCCCTGGACATCCAAAAGTCGAGTGGGCCTGACGGAATCCCCCCAATTGTGCTGAGGACGTGTGCTCCGGAGTTGGCACCGGTCCTAACGTGTCTTTTCCGGTACACCTACTCCCAAGGCGTAGTCCCAAATTCATGGAAGACAGCTTTTGTCCACCCGATCCCTAAAAAAGGCGACCGCTCAGACCCATCCAACTATAGGCCTATCGCGATCACCTCCTTGTTCTCCAAAATAATGGAATCCATTATTAACTGCCAGCTCATCCGGTACCTTGAGGATCACCAGCTGATTAGTGAGCGCCAATACGGTTTTCGTCGGGGTCGATCAGCTGGTGATCTTCTGGTCTACCTGACCCATAGATGGGCGGAGGCAGTAGAGTCCAAGGGGGAGGCGTTGGCCGTTAGTCTGGACATTGCGAAGGCCTTCGATCGGGTTTGGCACAAAGCGCTTCTTTCGAAGCTCCCTTCCTATGGGCTTCCCGAGAAATTGTGCAATTGGATCACCAGCTTCCTTGCAGATCGGAGCATCAAGGTCGTTGTAGACGGTGTATGTTCTGACTACAAGCCTATTAACGCTGGTGTTCCACAAGGGTGTGTGCTATCACCAACGCTGTTTCTTCTGCATATCAATGATATGTTGCTAACTGGTAACATTCATTGCTATGCGGATGACAGCACTGGTGATGCTCTATACACCGGCCGTGCCAATATTTCTCGGGAAAACGTCGCCGAGTACCGGAACAAACTTGTGTCTGAAGTCGGGTCTTTGCTGAACAAAGTCTCGGATTGGGGGCGACTAAATCTAGTCCAGTTTAATCCTCAGAAGACACAAGTTTGCGCGTTAACCGCTAAAAAGAACACCTTTGTCGTATCTCCTCAGTTTCAAGGCACTCCCCTTCTTGCCTCAGCCAGTATCGGTATCCTCGGAGTCGACATATCGAGTGATGTGCAGTTTCGTGGTCACTTGGAAGACAAGGCCAGATTGGCCTCTAAAAAGCTTGGCGTGCTCAGCAGAGCAGGACAGTATTTCATGCCGGCACACCGCCTGCAACTTTACAAGGCGCAGGTTCGCCCTCACATGGAATACTGTTCCCATCTCTGGGCAGGGGCTCCCCAGTGCCAGCTCCTTTCACTTGACCGCATCCAGCGCAGAGCGGCTCGAATCGTCGACGACCGAGCTCTTTCCGATCGGCTCGATTCATTGGCACTGCGAAGAGATGTTGCATCCCTTTGCATTTTCTATCGCATCTACCATGGGGAGTGCTCTGAGGAATTGTTCGGATTAATCCCAGCCGCCAAATTTCACGAACGCACATCGCGGCAGAACTCCCGTTACCATCCACACCATCTGGATGATTGGCGGTCCACCACTGTGCGACTTAGAAGATGTTTTCTTCCTCGCACGACTTCCTTGTGGAATCGATTACCATCAGCGATTTTTCCGGACCGATACGACTTAGGGACCTTCAAGAAACGAGCGTACTCCTTTTTAAAAGGCCGGCAACGCATCTGCAATTCCCTCCTTGGTGTTGCAGTTGTTCATGGGCGGCGGTAGTCACTTACCATCAGGTGAGCCGCATGCTCGTTTGCCCCCTCTCCTATAAAAAAAAACTTTAGTAATATCTACTACATAGAAATAAAGAGAGAAAATATTTATTTCGCCACATATGAGCAATTTGGATAATTAAAAATTTTGTACGTGGTAGAACCGTGCTGCAGCTATGTTAGTAGTATAGTTGTAGCACGAATTTGTCGGCTCAACCTGGGAAGGACCACGCTCTCACAGGATACCAGCGTCAAATAGCAGCTTAACACTGCTGTTTCGTATGGTGAGTATAGAGAAGCGGAGACTCTTTTTACTAGTAAAGAGACATTCGATCTTAGTCCTTACGGGTGACAACGCATCTGCATTTTCTTTATTGAGGATAAATGTGGATGTCTATGAGTCACAGCGACCACTTACCATTAGGTAGACTGTGTGCTCGTTTGTCACCCTATTATATAAAAAAAAACTTTTATTTTACATCCAAATCTAAAATAAAGTATATAAAATATATACACGTAGTAAAACGAGACAAAGAGCCTCACCCTCTTAGGGGTTGAATTTTCAGCCAACGTCATAAAAGGTACTACAGATTTCTACGTCTTTGGGCTGTGCGTTGATAGACGAGTCAGTATATCCAGAAATTCTCTTTTGTATATCGAGATAATCAATTGTATATTAAATATTAAAACTAAATAACAAAAAATATAAGACTTCAACAGTGTTTATATGAAAACGAGAATCGAGATCGAACGAGCATATGTTTGATATTTTTCATTGAGTGATTAGATTTCCATAAACATTATAATCAAGGAATACTTCAAATCATAAGATACATCAGAAACACCAGAGGAAATTCAAGTATGTTGCGGGTCTTTTTATCGGCCCGGAAAAATCACTGCCAGCAATAAGTTATTCAGCACGGTCGTGTCATAGTAGCAGAAAATTCCTAGTAAAAGTGGAATGTCTACCATCGATATAATGTGTAAAAAATTTAGGGTTCTGTCACCATGTACGATGATGGATGGTATATATGCGATAATAGTTAAAAATTAAAAATTTTGTACAACCGACTTCAATATAAATTATTAAAAATAACTCAAAAACTATTGGTCAGACATTGATCAAATGTGAACAACAGCTTTCAAATAAGAAAAGAATAATCGAAATCGGTTCACCCAGTACAAAAATATGAGGTATAAAACAAAAACACTTTTGTGAATTGTGTTTAGTGAATTGAGTACCGGCTCCTTTTTCAAGTCGGTAGAAAAATGTAGAGAAACCACGTCTCTTTGCATGTAAGGCCGAACCTATGCTCTGTAAAGATGCAAAAGGTTGGCCGGTATACTGTCTCGCTCTAATGAGTACATCAAACTTTATAGTGTAACTATCAGCGTAACGGCTTAAGTAGGGTGGTACTGGTCGGCGTTTATACTGGCAACATTAATCCACCGAGAAACTTGGACCGAGAAGTGTCATTTGATCTTGAAAACTGCTACGTGTCACGAGAGAGCACAAAGCATAATTCTATGATAAATTATGATGCTTAATTAGCTAATCTTTGCAGACTATTAAAGAAACTATATCACTTGCACGTCCAAAACGCACAGTACATAATTCAAAATGCCTACGATAGTCCCATAAGATCTTTTTAAAATTAAGTAAAAAGTGTTCTTCGCTGTTGTCAAGCCTTCATAACAACATAACAAGTCAACATAAATTAAAAAATTATATGCTTACTTTACTAAAATACTTTTGCTATAATTAATTACTACACTACATCTATAAAATGAAAAAATAAAACATTATAAACTTTTTTATATCGTCGACTCTAAGAAATAAATGGCACATGAACAATCAAAACTAATTATTTTAAAATCTAGGAAGTGTTGGCTTTTGACAATTTTCAGACGTATACGCATTAATGCCATCACAACATATCCAAGTCCCTAAAAAACCTATACGATACGTATCCACAGCACTATTCAGTCTTATCTCTGTCTATCACACCTTTCCTACATTACAGTCAAACTTCATCACTATCATTGCGACTGACCGAAATCACCTAGTGAGACATCAATATTTATGAAAAGTCAAATAAAACAAAATATAAAATAATTATAAATTTATTAAATTTTAGACACACCTAGTAATTATAATTCGGCTCAGGCGGGTGGTGCGGGGGGAACGGAGGGTGGCCAAACGGCGGCGGCCCACGAGGTGGAAACTGTGGCCTGAACTGTGGCGGTGGAGGACGCCATGGAGGAGGAGGGCGAGCGCCAGGTGGAGGCGGGGGGCCAAAGCCCGGAGGTCCGAAGGGCGGAGGAGGGAAATGGTGGAATGGAGGTGGAGGTGGCGGGGGCCCGGGTGGAGGTGGCGGTCCCGGAGGTGGCATTGAGGAAGGGGGCGGTGGTGGCGCCGACATGGGTAATGGTGGTGGGGGTCTTGCGTTTAGTGGCGGCCCTGGTGGCGGCATCGGTGTTGGTGTTGGAGGGGGTGGTGGTGCCATAAGCATGGGCCCCATCATGGTTGGGGGTGCATCTGCGAATAGCTGATGCGGACGGTCTGCGTGTGACAGTGGATTTTGTGCGGCGAGTAATCTGAAAGTAAAGTAAATATTATAAACTTGGTCACTATACTTGTACCAATAAATTATATATAACTACAAACAGGACTAGAATTTTTGAATTCTGATAATTTTGGCTCATATATATATATATATAAATGAGAAGATACCACCATGCAGCTGATGAGGTCAATTTAATATTTATATCTCCTACTTATTTTTATGAGAGTAGTCCTTCCCCGGTCAAGATGGCCCATTCGTGATACAACCACAATATGGCTGCACTGTGGCTCTACCATATATAAGGCCTTTCGGTTACTTTTGACCTCTTTATGCTATTTTATCAAAGCTGAAGAGACTTTCCTACTATTTACCCTAAATTTATTAGCTTAACCTGGACAAATTACTCTATGGACATTAAGGTGAATAAGTTGTCAAGTTTATTTATTTATTTATTTATTTAGAAAACCAACAGCGTATATAGAAAATATTAACATTAATGTAACAAACTAAAAGTATGGCCAATAACAGGTTTCCCTTATATTGTTTGATGGTATGTTAAGAATATAAACATAAAAACAAAAGAAGTATCAAACCTTTCAGCTGCTGAACCATGTCTCTCTCCTTTAACATCCTTCTTGAACGCATAAGACACAGATATAGGCCTATTGCATAGATATTGGTTATTCATAGCTTCTATCGCGGCGTCAGATGCCTCAAATGAAGCAAAGTTGATGAAAGCAAATGCTTTCGAGTTTCCTGTTTCTGGATCTCTCATTACCTAAAAGAAGAATAAAAAAAATTAAAAATAAAAATGTTAACAAGTATCATCATCATCATCATCATTACAGCCCTTTACAAGTCCACTGCTGAACATAGGCCTCCCCCAAGGAATGCCACAAAGCACGGTCCTGAGCCACCCGCATCCATCGACTTCCTGCATATCTTACCAGGTCGTCACTCCATCTAGTGGGGGGACGCCCTACACTTCGCCTGCCGGTACGAGGCTGCCACTCGAGAACTTTTCTTCCCCATCGGTTGTCGGTTCTTCGAGCTATATGGCCGGCCCATTGCCACTTCAGCCCACTAATCCGCTGGGCTATGTCGGTCACTCTAGTTCTACTGCGGATATCCTCATTTCTGAGTTTATCACGCAGAGAAACTCCGAGCATAGCCCTCTCCATAGCTCGCTGAGCGACCTTGAGCTTCCTCATCCGGCCAGTAGTGAAGGACCACGTCTCAGTTCCGTATGTCATCACTGGCAACACGCACTGGGTGTACAGTCTCGTTTTCAAGTTTTGAGGTATATCTGACGAGAAGATGTGCCGTAATTTCCCGAACGCTGCCCAACCGAGTTGAATCTGTGGATTGACCTCTCGGTCGAAGTTGGACTTACCTAATCGGACTATTTGTCCCAGGTAAACATACTCGTCAACAACTTCGAGCTTAGTGTTCCCAACAACTACCGGCATGGGTGTGACATGGACATTAAACATGATCTTTGTTTTGTCCATGTTCATCTTAAGACCTATCCGTTGGGAAACACTATTGAGGTCATTGAGCATAGTGCTTAGGTCCTCCAGCGATTCTGCCATAAGGACTATATCGTCGGCAAATCGAAGGTGAGTGATGTACTCGCCATTGATGTTGATACCGTATCCTTTCCAGTCCAGAAGCTTGAAAACATCTTCCAATGCAGCGGTAAAGAGTTTCGGGGATATGACGTCACCCTGTCTTACACCTCTCTGCAATTGGATAGGTTTCGTACTCTGGTTCTGTACTCGGATAGCCATCGTAGCCCTACTGTACAAGCACTTCAACACTTCGATATACCGACAGTCAACTTGGCATCGCTGAAGGGACTGCAGCACCGCCCAAATTTCGACGGAATCAAAGGCTTTTTCATAGTCCACATACGCCAGACATAGTGGCAAATTGTACTCCTCGGACTTCTCTACAATTTGCCGAAGGGTATGTATGTGGTCTATGGTGCTAAAGCCTTTTCGGAAACCGGCTTGTTCGGGAGGCTGGAAGTCGTCAAGTCTGCGCGCGAGACGATGCGTAATGACTCTCGAAAACAGCACGTAGACGCGGCTCAGAAGGGAAATCGGTCTGTAGTTCTTCAAGAGAGCGTTGTCGCCTTTCTTGAAGAACAAGACCACCGCACTTCTGCTCCACGCCTCCGGTGTAATGCCACCATGGAGGACGGAATTAAAGAGCTTCTGAAGGACTTCAAGTACCGGTTTTCCACCCGCTTTCAGAAGCTCCGCTGTAATTCCATCCTCGCCTGGGGCCTTGCCGTTTTTAAGGTGCTGGAGAGCCATTCTAATCTCACTCAGACTGACGTCCGGGATATCATCGGAATAATGTCGGATAAGACTCGCTCTTGGATCGTTACTCACACTTGCGTGCGGCTCCAACGATGACGTGTACAGCTGCTCATAGAACCTCTCAATCTCACTCCAAAATCTCAGGTGCCCCGGAAACGATGCTGCCACATTCTGTCTTCAGCTTAGACAGTTGGCGCTTTCTGGCAGACAGATCTCTGGCAAAGACTTTGGAGCCTTGGTTCCGCTCGATCGCTTCTTCAATACGAGCTGTATTGAAGTTGCGTAAGTCCCGCCGCATGCATTTGGAGATCTGTCTGTTCAGTTGCCTGTATGCTGTTAAATCTGTTGAAGAATGTAGCTTCATCTCCCGTCTAACAGCCATGAGATTAAGAGTGTGATCGGAGAGTTTTTGTGTTCTTCTGCGGCGGGTCTTGCAGAACTTAGCTCCGACCGCATGGACAGTTTCCACGAGCTTGTCATTCAAATCGTCCACTTCATTGCAGTCTTCTAGGCACTGAAAACGGTTTTGTAACTCGAGCTGAAAGGTTTCGGGACTTTGGATTAGAGCACGAGGGGGACGGAGCGTTGACTTCATTAGACGAGACCTCTCCAACTTAACATTTAGGTTCAGTGTGCCTCTAACCATTCGGTGATCGCTGCCGGTTTTCACCCTCGCAATCACTGAGACATCACTGAACAGTTGTCGTCTGGTCGTCATAATCTCATTTTCATCTCATTTTTTGTCGAACCGTCGGGGCTCGACCAGGTCCACTTCCTGTGGGGCCGCTTCTGGAAGAAAGAGTTCATCATAAAGAATCCCTCTTTCTCCATGAAGTCAGCCAACTGCTGGCCCCTTGGGTTCCGTTGCCCTATTCCAAATTTCCCTACTTTCAGCTCACCGTTCTCGAGTTAACAAGTATACTCATACAAAATCCTAAATTAAGTTTTTCATTATGGGTTTAACACTAGTTGTACTGTAATACTTTCTTTGCTTATGAATAAACTGTGGTTTTGATTTACGGCACTATAAAATTAAGTATAGTAAAGGTACAATTCCGTAGCCAACCACAGCCAGCAGCGGCAGGCGACATTATTCCAAACCCGACTGCAGACGGCAACAGCCAGTGCTCCAATCTGTTCCGAACCTATTTACCATTTTTATTTAACTCCTTTCCTATATTTTTTCAAATATTATCTATTGTCACACTGTTTAAATAATTATTGCGAGATGCACCGTACAGTGCGGGGTATTGGGCCACCTGGTTTATCAGTTTCTCTTCCATCAAATCGGGGAAACTCATTTTTTTGAGAAAAATTCAACGTGTCGCTCAGGCGTTGGCGGCACTACTGATCTACGGTCGGGCGACATGTAATCTGCCGCTTCGGCAAACGACATGTCGCTAGCTACGGAAGGTATTTCATAGAACTACACAGAAACCAGTAGTGTCACGACAACACGTCGCCTGCTGCTGCTGTCTGCGGTCGACTACGGAATGGTACCTTAACAGCCTATATAAATCCCACAACTGGAGTTTTTTTTCTGGACTTGCAGGTTTCTTGACAATACTTTTCTTTACTGCCAGGCATTGCTCTACCCCCAAGCACAAAGTAAATCAACAATTAAAATGCACTTCACAATTTTATTGGCATATGCCATTATCAGGGTACCATAATCTGATTAAAAAGTATCTAGATGGCTATGTGGTGCAATGGATAAATGTTGGGGTGCGACCCTGCAGACCACTACTTAGGACCCACATTAACACAGGATCCAAACCACAAACTGGCCAAAATAATGATTAGGCTCTATTTTCAGTTAATTTACAAGAATGAAAGAATTCTGAATAATAACACGTAAATCTGAAATCTACATTCATTTTTGTTAAAAAAAAACATACATGACATAGTATAATAGGGCTTCTGCCACAAGAAAAGAGCATTTATCTTCTGAGTAATTTTGTTTTTGTGGGTTGGTTCAATTTCTGCATAACACTGTACAAATATTTGTACATACTATGCATTAAGACCAATTTACACTGACAAGTCCAGTAGCGAGTTAACTTGCAAACCTGGCGAGTTTAGTAAAAATCTCGTTTGAACGGCAATCAATGAGTTAAGTAGCAAATTAACAATTAAGTTGAACGGGATAGCTGGCCAGGGTAATTTTCGGCGACTCAAGTCCGAAGTTCTTTTTTTATAGGATAGGTTGACAAACGAGCACACAGTCCACCTGATGGTAAGTGGTTGTTGTGATCCATAGATATCTATATCTATCGTCAATAAAGAAAAAAATGCGTCTTCACCCATAAGGACTAAGACGGAATGTGTCATTTCCAATAAAAAGGGTATTCCCGGTTCTCTACACTCACCATACGAAACACAGCAGTGTTAAGCTGCTATTTTACACTGGTATTCTGTGAGAGCGTGGTCCTTCCCCGGTCGAGCCGACAAATTCGTGCTACAACTATATACTACTAATATAGCTGCAACATGGCTCTACAACGTATAAATAATTTAAAATTTAAAAGAACAATGGCAGACTTTCATACATAAAATTAGTTGAGAAGGAATGGTAGCGTCTATGTATCAAAAATATCTTAAAATGTTAAGCGTACTGACGCTTAACATTTTAAGGGACTGCCCTTAATAACTCTGTCAAAGAATTTTGTTCTGAGAAGGCGTCAAAAATTAGATATTTATATTTTAACCTTTTTGGGTAAGTCTTATGTCACTTGGAAAAAGTCATGCTTCCTGTGGTTCTTTGATGTTAACTTAATACATAATACATAATTGAGAGTTTCCAGATTATTGTATCTCCATTATATATTTGCATACTATAAATGTATATTTCTGGCATGGCTCCAGGGCCGTTGTGTCATAGTGACATTCTTAGAAAGACTAGAACCCAGAGCTGTAAAGCCAGAACAAATACAGTGACATTTTGTTTTAGCTAGTGTAGCCATAACATTAAATGGAATTGGTACATAGTACTATGATTCTATAAAATTAATGTATTATTGTAGGAAGTTCTTTGTAAGATAATTATGCTCAACCATATCACTTTTATTTTTATTATTACTGATAGTATAATTATTACTAATAATAACTTAATACAAAAATATTTTGTGTGTTGTGTTGGTAGTCTTACAAAGTGTATACGAAAATAGTATGAATATACTAAATGGCAACACTTGAATAGAGTAAAATGATTTTAGTCATTTGATATTCCCAAAAATGTTTGTTTTTTTTCTGCGGCTTTAATTAAAATACATTTTTATTTGAAAAATCATAGAAAAATAATAAAACTCATTTTATATATAACTTGTTTCTAGACGCGATAATTTTTGTCAACTATTTTTCTGTCATTGTTCTTTCAGACTTCAATATAAATTATTAACAATAACTCAAAAAGGTTAAACCTTGATCAAATTTATATGGGACCACATGTGAAGCGCCAGCTTTCAAATAAAAAAAGAATCATTGAAATCGGTTCACCCAGTAAAAAGTTATGAGGTAACACATAACAAAACATAACAGTTGAATTGAGGACCGGCTCCTTTTTGAAGTCGGTAGAAAAGTGGTGCCCTCTCGCGCATCTTCCGCCAACCGCAAATAAACTCGCCGCTAGTGCAAACAAGCGAGTTTAAGTTTAGTGTAGTGCATAAGTTGACAGGACGGAACGTGTTGTTGACCCTCGAAAATCGAAAATATAAAATTGTACTTTTTTTAACTAAAGTCACCACGAAGGCATTTGAACGATACGCCCCACTTAACCGTTTACTGTCAACTACCCTGTAACTAAACTTGCTACTGTATTTGCCGAAGTGTAAATCGGCCCTAATTGTACCAGGTCTGGAAGTTTATCCATGTGCAACTCACATATTCATAACACCTCCATGATACAGAAGAAGTTCATTGTGTATTTTATATATACAAAAACTATAAAATTACAAAAACGAATCAATTATAGTTTATTTAAATCGGCTTTAACCATTATGGAATCCTTTAAAACTAATCTGTAGTCTATATAATTCATTATTGTAAAATAAAACTATAACTAATTATTCAACAGCCAAAGACAATTGAAAAGAACTTCATTACCTAATTTTTTTACTGCAACCATAGTCGTTATACAAAAATAAATTTATTTTGTGTTTACCTTTGGTGTTTGCAATATAACGCCAAAAGCTGAGAATGTGTCGTAAAGTAATTTTTCATCAACTTCAGGGTCCAGATTTCCTATAAATACATTTGCTCCAACATCAAGGTTCTTTTGATGTGCCGAAGCTTTGTTTACTCGAACTGGTTTACCATACAGTTTTATCATATTCATAACCTGAAATTGCGGAATAAATACTATATCAGATTTAATAAAATAATAAGAAATTTGAAAAGTAAGTCAATCTATAAAATACATACTGCAATATTATTGCTTAAAGTAGTAACATACAGAAAGGAATTATTATATTATAAACTTCACTGCCTCATAGGTCTATTGATAGTAAGTGTGACTACTGATCATGTGGTTCCAGGTTCAAATCCATTATTAGGCCAAAATCATTTTAATTAGGGTTTTCTAGCAAGAAATGCTAAGCCTGATTTTTCTTCAGTCAGGCAAAAGAAATGAACACACAAATGACTAGTCTCCGTTGTGACTGGCGGCCGCGGCCGAAATTCAGTATGGCCGATATTACTATTATAAACTTTTTTCCAAGCACTCAACCTAATCAACATGTTGTAAAAATTAAATAATGTGCTAACCACCTCCTGTAAGGTCAACTTGGTGATTATTAATTAGCCTTATGTGTGCTGTCTGAAAATTGTTTTATTGCCAGGCAACTTGGCTTCACTAGGCATATCTATGTATTTAGATATGCACCAATGACAAAAAAGTCATGGTAGCATGTATTTGCTTAGAATCTGACGGCACACAACACACACACACTGACTTGATTCGAATTCCACACAAAACCAAGTATTTTGTGGCCTACAAATAATTGTTTGTTTTTACATAATATGCAATACTTATTAATTTTTCTAAATCAAGTTTTACATCTGCCACAATAACTCACCACACTATGGATTGCTATGGAATGCCAACAGGAATCAAGTCCACCCAACTTCACCTTAGTATTAAAATGTGCTATAAAGATTTAAAATAAATAAATAAACATAATACATATTATGTATGTTTAGTTACATTTTTACATAAATTATTAGAAAATAGGCATTTCCATATAAGAATAGAGGATAAAATATCTGAAAATACTTAGTGACGTTGTTAACCAACTATATGAACCATATTAATTATAAAACAATTCTCAACAAAGCTTTTGGGTTGGCTATAGACATCTGGTACTTGATTTTAATTACTTATGTTTTCAGTTTAGGAGGCCTATCTGGATAAAGTTTGAACCTTTTACACTGTTTTTGGATGTCGGAAATTAGTTTTCAATTAATTACGATAAAAATAAATTTCACTAAAAATTGCGTATAACATTACACAAATATGTCAATTTGGTCTAGTGTTATGAAGTAGATGTCTGGTACTTGATTTTCATTATGTTTTCAGTTTAGGAGGTTTGTCAGGGTTACACTTGTACATTTTAGACTGTTTTTGGATGTCGGAAATGCGTTTTGAATTAATTATGATAAAAATAAATTTAACTAAAAATTACATATAACATAAAGCAAATATGTGAATTTGGTCTAGTGTTATGAAGTAGACGTCCGGTACTTGATTTTAATTATGTTTTCAGTTTAGGAGGTTTGTCAGGGTTAAGCTTGAATCTTTTACACCGTTTTTGGATGTCGGAAATGCGTTTTGAATTAATTACGACAAAAATAAATTTCACTAAAAATTGCATATAATGAAAGCAAATATGTTAATTTGGTCTAGTGTTAGGATGGAGATTTGTCAGGATTAATCTTGAACCTTTTATACTGTTTTTGTTCTTTGGAAATGTATTTTGAATCAATTACGATAAAAATAAATTCCACTAACTAAAAATTGCATATATAATGAAACGGATCACCCATAAAAAAGTTAATTAGTTGGACCCAGACAATCCATTGGTGGCTGAAGATGGGACTCATACACAACAAATTGAGTCAGCAGTGGAGAGCAGTCATGATCTTTTTCAAAAAACAAAAATTATAACAATTCACATTTACCACTATCATGACAGAGTTTAGGACGACCTGACTTTATAAATAAGATAGGTCGAATCTGTACTAAAACCGAATCAACATGCCACAACTCCACAGTCTCGTCTGCCCTACCCCTAAAGTGTTTTTGTAAAGCCATATGCACGGAGAGAGAGCAGTCTCCACCTGCTGCAGCAAATAGCAGGCACCTATGTGAGCCGTAGCAGCTGAGGCTGGTCGCCGAAGGCCTCCTGAACCCTCCCCCCCACACCCCTTCCACCCCCGTATGCAAGTACTGTATATCTATAGTTTAACCAAGCTTTTACCTTTATAGCGTAATCTGCATCTTCCTC